TAATATGTCAAAATACACTCTATTATCATGTATATCTAAAAAGAACAAATAAAAAATACTAAACAAACAAACAAAAAACCACTCTTAAGCCTGATCAATGAAATGAATGGTTGTTTTTTTGAAAAGATAAACAAAACTGATAGCATTTAGCTAGACTAGGAAACAAGTGGAATAGACATAAATAAAATCAGAGATGGAAAAGGAGACATTAGAACTTAGATCCCAGAAATACAAAGACTCAGAAGACTATTATAACAATCACACACCAAGAGGCTGAACAACCTACAAGAAATGAGCAAATTCCTGACTCAGACAACATTCAGAATTGAATCATGAGAAAATAGAAACTGTGAACAGAATAATGAGAAAGGAAGTTGGATCAATAATAAAATGTGTCTCATCAAAGGGACATCCGGGACCTGAGGGTTCAACTGCTGAACCATACAAAATATTTAAAGAACCATTACCAAGTCTTCTCAAATCATTCCAAACATTTAAAGAGGAGGAACTGCTTCTAAACCCATTCTCTTAGACCAGCATTACCCTGATACCAAAGTCAGACAAGAACACAACAACAATAAAAAAGGAAACTATAGCCAGTATCCCTGGCAAAAAGAGATGCAAAACCCCCCACAAGTTATTAGCAACACAATTGAACAACACATCAAAAATGCTAGTCATGATGGAGGGATGCAAGGATGGTTCAATAATTTATCAATAATATGATATATCATATTAATGGAGTGAAGAATAAGGGACATATGATCATTTCAATAGACACCAAACAAACACTTGAGAAAATTCAACACTGTTTCATGATAAAAATCCTGAACAAATTAAGAACAGAAGGTTTGTACTGCAGCATAATAAAGGTCATACATGACAAGTCCTCAGCTAATCTCACAGAATGGCGAAAAGTCAAACATTTTTTCCCTAAGATCTGAAATAGAAAAGGATGCCCACTTTCACCACTTCTATTCAGCACAGTACTAGGAATCCTGGCCAGAGCAATTAGGCAAGAGGAAAAATAAAAGGCACCCAAACTAGAAAGAAAGAAATCATACCTGTATGCAGGTAGCATGATTATATATAGAGAAAATTCTAAAGACTATTAAAAACTGTTATGATCTAATAAATTAATTTGATAAGGTTGCAGGATATATCAACAAACAAAAACCAGTAATGTTTTTATACACTGATAACAAACTATCTGAAAAATAAATCAAGGAAACAATCTCATTTATAATAGCTACCAAAAAAAAAACCCTCTTGCGAATAAATTTAACCAAGGAGATGAAATACATCAACACTGAAAACTGTAAAACACTGATGAAATAAATTAAAGACACAAATAAGTGGAAAGATATCTCATAGATGTGAATTAGAAAAATAGGCATTGTCAAAATATCCATGTTACCCAAAGCAATCTACAGATACGTTACAATCCCTGATCAAAATACCAAACTATTTCTTCATAGAAATAGATATAAAAAAAATACTCTAAAATTTGTATGGACCCTCAAAAAACTCTGAATAGCCAAAGCAATCTTGAAGCTAGATGCAGAACTTCAAAATACATTAAAATGTTATAGTAACTCAAACATTATGGTATGGTCATTGAAACAGATACACAGACAAATGGAACAGAATAGAGGGCCCAACAATAAATACACATTTATAGGCAACTAAATTTGGGGTGTGGGAGGTACTGGGGATTGAACTCAGGGGCACTTGACCACTGAGCCACATCCCCAGCCCTTTTTTGTATTTTATTTAGAGACAGGGTCTCAATGAGTTGCTTATCAGCCCGCTTTTGCTGAAGCCATTTTTTTTAACAAAARTGTTAAGAACAAACAATAGGGGAAGGACAGTCTCTTAGATAAATGATGCTGGAAAAACTGGATATCCACATATAGGAAAATGAAATTAGAGTCTTATGTCTCACATACACAAAAATCAGTTTAAATGGATTAAAGACTTACATGTAAGACCCCAAAACATGAAACTACTAGAAGAAAACAGAGACAATGACGTTGGTTGAGCAATGATCTTTTTGGATATGACCTCAAAAACACAGCCAATGAAAGCAAAAATAGATGAATGGGTTCTAACAAATTAAAAAACTTCTGCACAACAGAGGAAATGACAAAGTAAGGAGATGACCTACAGAATGAGAAAAAAGCATTCACAAACAATATGCCTGATAAGAAGCAAATATACAAAACTGAGGACTCAAACAACTCAATAGCAAGAAATAAATCTGATTTTAAAAAAGGATCTGAATGGATATTTCTCAAAATATCACACAAATGATTTATAGATATATGAAAAAATGCTCAACAAGACTAATTGTCAGGAAAATGCAAATCAAAACCACAATGAGATATGACTTCACTCCTGTTAGAATGGCTATTCTCAAAAATACAAATGATTCCAGTATTAATGAGGATGTGGAGAAAAGGGAACACATATGTGCTACTGGTAGGAATGTAGATTAGTGTAGCTGCAATGGAAAAGAGGATGCAAGGTCCTCACAGTATTAAAAGTGGAACTACCCTAAGATCCAGAGATCACAATATTGGGATATATATCCAGAGGAAAGGAAATAAGCATGTTGAAGAGCCATCTGCACTCCCACGTTCCTTGCAGCATTATGGGCAGAACAACCAAGGTATGAAATCAATCTAAGTGTCTATCAATGGATAAAGAAAATGTGGTACATACACACAACGAACTACTACTCAGCCATAAAAAGAATGGAATCCTATCATTTATGACAACATAAGACACTTTAAGTGAAATAAGCCAGGCCCACAAAAGCAAATGCTGAGTCACTTCACTCAAATATAATAAGAAGATGTTCATCTCATAGAAGCAAAAAGTAGAATAGTTGTTACCAGAGGCTGGGGTGTTTGGAGGGGAATGAGAAAATGTTGGTCAAAGTATATAAAATTACAGCTAGGTAGCAGGAATAAAGTCAAGAGATCTATTACATAGCCTAGTGACTATAGTTAGTAACAGTATATTGTATTCTTGAAAAATGAAAAATGAATGGATTTAACATTGTTATCACCATAAAAAATGATAACTATGTAAGGTAACACATTGCTGATTAGCTAGATTTAGTAATTGTGTTTGAGGTCATATCCAAAAAGATCATTGCTCAACCAACATCATTGTCTCTATGTTTTCTTCTAGTAGTTTCATGTTTGGAATTTCTTCTAGTAGTTTCATTTAGTAATTCCAAAATGTATATATACTTTAAAACATCACATTGTACAAGACAAATACAATTTTGCCTGTCAATTTAAAATCAATCAATAGCTTAAAATATGGGCCATGTAAAAACCTTTTCCACTAAAATGACAAAGACTCCAAAACTTAGTACGGTCTTCTTCAGCAAAAGCCCAGCCAACGTGCCAAGTCAAAGGCCCCAACAGAGCCATGATGAACAGATTCTATCAATAATGCATTTTGCATAAGGAACAGAGCAACACTGGCTAAAAATCATACTGCATTTCTGGAAAGATTTTTAAAGYGCACCCAGCATATTTTTTAAAATTAAAATTTCTAGATTCCACTAGCTAAAACAATTGCCCTTTCCCATCTACTTCTAAACTCTTAGATTGTAAACAGAAAACAAAAATAGGGGTGGAAGGGAGCAGCACCACTTGTGGGCAGCTTGGGAAGACGGACTGACTCAGAAAATAATAACAGAAAATAAAGAGCAGGAAGTGGCAGCTCCCAGACTCTCCACTCATGGGCAGTTTCCCCTTACTCTAAAAGGGTCTGGACTCAATGATTGGAAGTTCCTTCCAGACTGCGGTTTATAATGTGAACTAACTGTCTAGTGACTTCTAGGATATATGATAGATTAATTCCCAGAGATCCCAAGAATTTGCTGGGTCTGTTTTCGTCACAGATGAGACGGTGAAATTGAGTTTATGAAAAAAAAAATCACTGTTACTGTTAATGGGGAAACTGCCCAGTGGTTCCATGAAACAGAGGGGGCCACATTAAAACACACTAAGGTAAGACAACAGAGAGGGTTCAAATGCCTCACATGAGACTTAGCAATGAAAACTTAGGGGACTTTAAGAAACAGAGCTGGTGGGTGGCTGTGGTTTGAATATGGTTTGTCCCCATCAAAACTCATGTTGGAGGCTAATCCCCAGTGTAAGGTACTGAACAGCAGCAGGGCCTTTAAGAGGGGACTGCTTTTTACAGGGAGTGATACAGAGAATGGGTCAGTTGTTTCCAGACCATGTTGTTACAGGTGAGCCTGGAACCTCCCCTCGCTCTGTCACATACGTGCACCTGCAGATGCATCTGTTATGAAGTAGCATGAGGCTGTGGTCAGGTACAGCTGCCCCGTCTCAAACTTCTCAGCCTTCAGAATTCAGCCAAAATACAACTTCTTTCTTTATAAATAACCTGGTCTCTGGTATTGTTACAGCAACAGAAATGGACTTAAGACAGTGCAAACTGTGAATTTAGCCTACTAAATCTTGAAATGTTTCATAAATGGTGAAAAATTGGGAAGCAAAGAGTATTGGAAGGTACACAACCTAAAGGGACTGATGATCAAATCAACCTGGTGTATCTTTTCATAACAGAAAATAAAGAGCAGTGAAGATCACTTGGGTGAATGCCTGTTATTTTAGGAGGAGATAAAATGCTGTGGTCTCCAAGGAAACTTATGAAGTTGCCTGGGATAATGGATGCTTTGTTGTCTTACCTTGTTATAGTAAGAGGCCCGAAAAGTTGATTATATAGATAATTTTATACAGTTGTTTACATGGATAATTTCTATAAAAGATCCTGATTTCTAAGGAAATGTTCTGGATAATTCTTTGAAAATGAACAATCTTTTGATGAAATGATCCACAGGGTCTACTTTCTCAGAATATGCAGATTTACAATATTGATAAACCTTTTTTTTAATCAATTTAGGATTTCAAATTAATAACAAACGCTGGCCTTCTTGCCTAACTTCTCACCTGGGCACCAGAAGCCTTGATCCATGTTCTTCCGCTCCCTCTGACCTGCCAGATGCCCATTTTCTTCCTGAGAGATGACATCCTTGGAGACAGAGGGCAGGTGCCCAGCTCTCCATGATCGGTCCCCACTGCTCAGGGACTCAGGTCCTCCTGGCTGCGAGGCCTGGCTCCCGGGGACATTCAGTTCCTCCGCCTCCCCTGCAGAGTCTATGTTCTTGAAGCTCAGGCACCTCATCCGAGACACAGAACTCACCTCTTTCATTCTTATCAAGCGGTCAGGGTCCGCCCTCCTCTGGGGGGATGCCAGTTTTTCTTGTAAACTTTCAATTGCTTTGGAAGGGTTTCTGAGCCTCTTTTCTGAGCCTGCCACATTTGGGGTCCTTTCTATAAAATGGAACAAAGTGGACCTGAAGGGTGGTTTTGCCCCCACATCCTTTGGCTCCAAGGACTTGGACTCCAAGTGGTTGGGCTGAGGCTCAGGACTGGTGGGTTGGCTGGTAAGGACCCCATCCACATTCAAGGGCTCACAAGTCTGGGGAGCCCTTTCCCCTACAAAGAGGGGGCTTTCCGTCCAGCCACACTTTCTCCTGCCATAGAAGGCATCAGTGGTAACCAGGGGTGCATCTGATGGCACTGAGCTGGGTAGTGACTTTTCCTTGGAGGATTCTGGGCTGCAGGCACTTGTATCAGACTTGGGTGGTTCATTCTGTCCTGTTCTGGTGCCCCGCAGGAGGGACTCCACAGCCACCTCAATGCCCAGAATCCTTTCTGCCCTCTCCTGCAGGGACTCCTCTTGGGGGATTTCTATTGCTCTTCCTTTGCCCAAAGATCCGTCTAACTTACTGACATTCTGCTCTTGCCCCATTGTGAGCCCCACAGACCGTAAGTCTGGTGCTGAGAGGCCTCGATTTTTGACAGTAAGGGACAGTGGGACTACTGTGTCCTTCTCTTTACCATCATTCTTCGGAGAGACCCCTTTGTTCAGCTGCACAGAACTTAGAGCATTGGTGAGTTTCAGACTTTCTGGTGGCTCTTTAGATTCAGCCAGATAGGACAGAGGTGCTGGTTTTGTGTCACTTGGTCTTGAAGACATCATTCTTTTCACAGGACCTGAGCTGATTAGCTGCTCATTCATTCCATTTACAACCTTTTGGTGTTGCTTGTCTGTAAGTAGGCCTCCATCTGCCAACTGGAAAGGGCCATTTCTGCTGTCTTCTGCCTGCAGGGGGCCTGGGAATTGAGGACGGGCACAGGGGTGGCCAGGATTTGGTTCCTCGCTCCAGCTCTCAAATCTACTTATAATTCTTCCCAAATGAAACCCTGGATCCTCTGGCACCAACACCCTGGGCTGCTGCTCCTTGTTTTCATGGAAGCCCTGGTTCCTTGGTCCAGAGTCAGCGTAGTCTTCCTGCTGCTGTTCAGTCTCACTTTCCTCAAGGCTGCTGTTGTAGCTTTCTTCCCCTTCTTGAAGCTCCTTGTTGAAACTTTCTAACTGACTGATCAGATCCCAGGGTCGACGACTAACTGGTTTCAAGAGAAACTGACCAAATGGCTGTTTACTGTTGCAGGGGCCCGCCATGGGTTCCCCCTTCACCACCTCAGGCTTAGGCGCGGGGTGGGCTTCATGTTCTTGGACAACCACACAAGGCTGACTCTGGCCCACTTTTGGCACAAGTGCCTGATTTACAGATGAGGAAGTCCTTGAGAAAGCACTGTTGCTAGATGGGCTGAGGGACATTTGACCTTTTAGGCTATGAGCATCTGGCTTCTGGTTTTGGTCACCAGACACTAATGCTGTGTGCAAGAGAGCTCTGGAGGCGGGGGGTTCTATGGATTTGGGGGCTGGTGCTGTGTTGCTCATCCCTCCCATGTTTTCATCAGGAAGGAGCTGGGATCTTTGGGATTCTTCAGAGAAGTTGGTTTGAGTTTGCTGATCTTTGTATTGATGCCCTGGCCATGGSCTAGAATACTTGAACTCTCTGTGTTTTGCAAGGTGGATAAATCTGAGGTCATGTGTTTGTTTGTCTTCTTCTAGTTCCCCCAGATCGAGTTTCGTGAACTCTGTTCTCCCGACCATGCTTCCTGTGAGAGCTTGCAGCTCCAGGTCAGTGGAAGACGTGCTCAACAGACTTTGTTCCTGCAGAGCTGTGCTCTTATCAACCCTGTGCTTTTTATCAGCAGTCTGTTTTAAGTCATTGTTGTTCGTATCTATATCTGGCAGATGTGATTCTGATTTAACTGGGATGGAAACCAAACAAAATATGGTCTCGTTCATTTTTTTCTTTGAAGTTTTCTTGGTCTGAATCCCAGTTTCAAACTTTCTGAGCTTGGTTTGGACTTCCCAGGTACTTTCACTCTGTGGGTCTGGGGAGGAAACCTGGCCTTCCTCACGTCCATGCTGGCCTCCTCTTATGCCAGTCCACTGTTCTCTTACAATGCAGGGATCTCTCTGGTCAGAGAAGTTTCCATCTTCCCCATTCCCAGGGTGCTGGCCCCACAGCCACCGGGGGCTGGGATCAGCAAAGGCCAGGCTCCTCTCCTTCTCYGACAGGGGTATTGGGCCCTGTGCATTCACAAGGGCACCATCGCATTTCATTTTCCCATGAGCTGGCTCTTGGGCAGTAATGGGACCAGAGTGATATGGTCTATCATCAAGCTTCATTTCTTCACAGAAACCCATAGGTTTAGCTAGTTTAATATGTCGTATCCGTGGATCATCAAAGGGGATGTACTGAACAGAGCTTTCATGGGCAGTGACAGGACTGGAGAATTGAGGGAGCCCTCGAGGAGAGCCAGGGCTCATGCTGTACTCATTCCCTGTTCCAACAACACCAGAAGGACGTGGACAACTGGCCCCAGGCTTCTCAGTAAGATGTTGCGGTTGACTGTGTTCACTATTCACGTGTCTGGGTGCTGTATCTTCCAAGTAGGGGTTTGGGATATGCTGGGGGGGCGACCTGTATGAAGGCGGAGGCACATAAACTGGAGGCTCCAAGCCAGAGTCTGACATGCTGAGCTCATGCCTAGAGTCATTAGTTTTGGTCAGGTAGGAACYGTGGGGGTCCGTTTGCTGGCTGCCCTGAAAGTCGCTGTTCTCTCCTCTGGTCTGTTGGTGTGAGCCATACAATGGAGGCTTGAGGGGTCTCCCAAATTTAGGCCGTGAAAAAGGGGTCAGGGAGCCACCCTTCTCAGGGTTCCTTGTGGACTCCAAATTTGGAGCATACGGTGATATCAAAGGAACATCTGGTACGTGTCCATCACTTACTGGAATGGGAATTTCCATGCAGCTCAGGCTTTCAGGGGAAAGACCTCGAGGCAATGACCGGGATTTCTTTTTGTTCTGAGAAGTCAACACATGTTCACCTTGAATGAATGGGTACAGCTCTTGAAACAATTTCTCCCCATCACCATCAGACATCTGCTTCCCTAACTTCCTTGGCTGGTTCCAGCTTTCCAGGCTTACRTTCTGCCACTTGGCAGAACCCGACATCCTCAACTCTTCTTCCCAAACTGCCTTCTTCATCACGTCCTCTGTCCTTCCTCCGACTTCCCATGAACCCTCCCTTACGTGGATGGGCATACTGTGGGCTTGGGCCATTCCTCTGACCTCCAGGTCTTGCCGGTCTCTTGGACTCAGCAAGCTACTGACCTCCTGTCCTCCTCTTCTCCAATAGGCCTGGTTGTTACCGATCTGGGGCTGAGAGGACCATGCTAAGGTGGGTCGATTATAAAACCTACAAAAGAAACAAAGAGGCGTAGATGTTACACCCAGAAGAAACATGCACTTCTCTGCTTCTGTGGCTGGTGTGAAATCAAACTTAAGTTAGTGCCTTTGAAAGATTGCTACCCAATCACAGTGTTTGCCAATTTTAAGGAAAACAAGTCCCACTGATCACAGATGGAGGACAGCCACATATTTTGCCAGCAAGGGCTGAGGAGTGGCAGCAGCAGGCTACCCAGAAGAACACAAAGGATGCTGGGTGTATGAGATATCAAGGCCTTTATGTTAAAACCCCCAAGGAAACAAGGGCATGCCCTGGAACAGTTCCTCAAGGTGTGGCCTTTGACAATCTGAGCACATTCCTGGCTAAATCCAGACTTACTGAGCAATCTCTGGGAACCTGCTTTTGATGATGCCACTCTACAGCAGTGATTCTTAATCTTCAGGGAGAGTGGGAATCACAGAAGGGTTGCTAAAACACTGGCTGCTCACTCCCTTCCCGTTTCTGATTCAAAGAGTAACTGGACGGGGCTATAGGAATGTCTAACAAGGTTTGGGCAGGAGATGCTGCTGGTCCTAGGACTTTACTTGGCCAGTTATTACGGTGTCAACATGACTGCACATCTGAATCGGGAGGGACCTTACAAATCCCAGTGCCCAAGCAGTGTCCTAGATGCATTACATTGTAAATTTGAACATCAGGAGTGATCAGGCATCAGAATTCTTCCACATTTCCCCAGGTGTCCCTGGTATGCAGCCAAGACTGAATACCACAGGCATACTTCCCCTATGGTGAGGATCACCAGTCATGCACAGCATAAGGTTAGTAAATGATATTCGCATATCTGACAGTATTCTCGTAAGATTATAAATGGAACAGAAAAATACCTACTACCTAGTAATGCTGTAGCCACTGTAACATTGCAGTGTAACACATTATTCACGCGTATGGGGGGAGGCTGGTGTAAGCACGCCTGTTGCATTGCCAGTCATATAAAATACAGCACATATAATTATGTATAGTCATAATACTTGATAATAAGTGACTATGCTATTGGTTTATATATTTAGTACACAATATTTTTGTCATGCATTTAATTGTCCTTCTTCTACTTCTTAAAAAAAAAATCTATTGTAAAACAGTGGCAGGCAGCCTTGTACATTTAGCCTCTCTCTTAATTGCACCAAGAGGCCACATTGCATAACTGACCTATACCACTGAGATTTGTACAAGGACAAAGTCACCTAAGTACAATTTCTCAGAATGTGGCTCTATCATTTGGTGAAATGTGACTGTATATACATTACCAAATCTCAACACATGAAAGTTCAAATTCAGTAGGTCTGGGTCTAGCCCAGGCATCTGTATTTTGAACAAGCAGTCCAGGGGATTCTTATCCTTAAGCAATTTGGGAAATACTGCTATGGCTAACTTTGAGATTGATCAAAGGAAGAGCAGATGCAGATGGAGAGTGGGCTGTGTTTGTGGGGAATTTTGTCAGGCAGGAAATGGTAGTATCAAATGCAGGCTGCTCTTTACTACCTGATAGTACATACTGCTTTCCTAGTGAGCCCTCAGAAAATACAGATGCCAGGACCCAACCTCAGAAATTTGGATTTAATTGATCTTGTAAGGAGCCTGATAGCATTCTATTTCAAAATCTCTCCAGATGATTCTAGCAGGCATCTAGGGGTTTAGAATCACAGTTCTAATGCAACCAATGAAATTATCCATATAACACTGTTACACTGTGCATGAATAATAAAGGACCAGATAATAAGAAACATTAACTGGAAGGGAGCCTGGGGGACTCAACTATTTTGATTAACCATGGGCTAAGCAGATGAGAGTGTCAACTCTAAAACCATTGTTTTTGTAGATTATTAAAGTATTTTATATTCATTGTTGAAAATGAATGTTGGAAAAACATAGAAAATACAAAACCAAACATTACTTGTAATCCTGCTGTTCTCAGAGATAGTCACTTTAATATGTGTCTTCTAGTCTATGTGTATATGAAAACATGGATTTTCAAACAGCCTCACTATTCTAGGCATCTAGGCTCATGGGAACGTCTCCCATACCCATGCTACATACAACAGCTAACAAACAGTGGCTGCTTCATAYCAGCTCCACACTGAGTGTTTTCTGTCCATTTATTCACTTAAACCTCACCGGCATCCCTCTGTGGTAGGAATGACTGTCATTCCCATTTTACAGAGGAGGAAACTGAGGCAGGGAAATTGGGCGCTTATACTATGCTGTGCATTGTGCTAAGCCTGTGCAATGGCTTCTTCCATTTAAACTGTACAACAAATGAATTTCATGATTGATTTTTCTATTTCTATAAGGAATGGCATTGGGGTTTTAATTGGAATCACTTTGAATCTGTATAGAGCTTTGGGTAGTATGGCCATTTTGACAATTTTGACAATATTAATTCTGCCTATCTAAGAGCATGAGAGAGATCTATCCATCTTCTAAGGTCTTYTTCTATTTCTTTCTTTAGTGTTCTGTACTTTTCATTGTAGAGGTCTTTCATCTCATTTGTTAAATTGATTCCCAGTTGTTGTTTTTTTTTCCTTTGAGGCTATTTTGAATTTCTCTTTCAGAGGATTTATCAGTGATGTATAGAAATGCATTTGATTTATGGGTATTGATTTTATATCCTACTACTTTGCTGAATTCATTGATTAATTCTAGAAGTTTTCTGGTAGAGTTTTTTGGATCCTCTAGGTATAGAATTATGTCGTCAGCAAATAATGATAAGTTCTTCTTTTCCAATGAGTATCCCTTTAATTTCTTTCGTCTAATTGCTCTGGCTAGAGTTTCAAGGACTATGTTGAATAGAAGTGGTAAAGAGGGAATCCTGTCTTGTTCCAGTTTTTAGAGGGAATGCTTCCAATTTTTCTCCGTTCAGAATGATGTTGGCCTTGGGTTTACCATAGATAGCTTTTACAATGTTGAGGTATGTTCCTACTATCCCTAGTTTTTCTAGTGTTTTGAACAGGAAAGGTGCTGTATTTTATCAAATGCTTTCTGTGCATCAATTGACATAAAGAATCATATGATTCTTATCTTTAAGTCTATTGATGTGATGGATTACATTTATTGATTTCCGTATGTTGCATCAACCTTGCATCCCTGGGATGGACTCCACTTGATCATGGTGCGCTATGCATATGTGGTACGATTCTACATCGTGTCCAGCCAGTGAAAAGTTGTGCTCCATATGTGTGTAATGAATCAAAAAGCTTTCTGATGTCATGTATAACTGATTAGAACTAATAAAAATAAATTAAAAAGAATAAACTGTATGACCACCTTTACTTCCCCCCTGTGCCAGGTAAGGAAACTGAGGTACAGATATGCTAAACAACTTTCCTAAATTACATAATTTTTACAAAGCTGGGAAATAATTAACCACTATGCCTTTACTTTTTTAAATGTAATGAAAACTTCTTCAAGTGCTTGATTACCATGGGTGAACAGTATTCCATCATACATACATACCACTGTACCAGTATGGACGTTTATGAAAATTCCATCCAAACACACTTTGTAGAAACACTACTGTCCACAAACACTGATTGCAAGCCTCATATTACTTAGAATAAATCTTTAGTTTTTTAAAAGGACTGAGTAGTCAAGAAGCACACTATTGAGTTGACCTTATATAAACCATCTCAGTGTACAGTCCCTCCTGTCATGTAGAGGACAGCTGGCTTTGTTGAACCTTCTCATCCCTACAGAGTATAATTTTTTTTTCTCTCTTGAAATAAGTGGAAATAATTTCTCATTATTTGAATTTGCATTTCTTTGATTACCAGAAGATCAATTTTTTTCATGTGCTTAAGTGTCATAAAGTGATTTATACAACATAGTCCACTTCTCAGCTGGTGGTAGGCCAAATGAAAACTACAAGGAACAGGGAGGTTCTCAGAGCCATGCAGTAATGGCACATAAAGGCCCAGGAATTGACTGGGCTCAAGGGGAACCATTCCCAACACATATATAGAAGGTTACTGCTCTGTAAGGAATGCCAATAAAAAATTATGTTATTATTAATATCATTTTTATTTTGGAATAATTTCTTTGCATTAAAAGATGAGAGTCCCCTGAGTCACTAGTGATGGGTAGAAAACATCGGGAAATCATTTTGAGGTGAAGTGTGTGGCCCTGAGCAGCGCAGATSCTTCTGTACTTACTACTCACATCAGTACAGGCTGTTGACAACAGAGTGGGAGGAGGTCACGATTTCATTGTTGCTTTTGTTGTCATCAGAATCGTGTTTGGAACACTCTGGGTTTAGAATGCTTAGCAGGGCCCTCCCGGGGGCCAGTACTATCAGATTGATCATTTTGGAGGCTATCGCTCCTTGCACACCTACCCACTCTGAAAGCTGCAGTTTCTTCTCCTAGAGAGTCCTGTATGATAGCCCATCCATAGCATGAGAAAAACCTTAGAAGATAAACCATTACAAGTCTTTAGTACCAGGYGAGTACTGAAAAGGTGCTGCTCAGTGGTAGAGAGCTTGGCTAGCATGTGTAAGGCCCTGGTTCCATCCCGAGCACAGGGGTGGGGAGGGAGGAGTCTTCAGTACACACTGGCTACAGGGTATCAGACTCTAGAAAGTTCAGGGGAAAAACTTTAAAACTGCAACTTAATAAGACATTGCAATCGTCACAGCTTCAACTGTGAGAGTGCACAATAATTCATGGGGTATGTGGAGAATGCTTGGCAGCAAAACTACTTACTTTGTTCTACTCTTAAGCTGATTATACGTGGGCTTCATACACCAAAGGCTTTATTAAACATTATTCTTATTCCTTACCCTTATAAACATTTTCAGGAATGCTCGACTTTATAATCTGGCTCATTTTCTCAATTGATATTCTGATTTCACAGTGAACATGTGTTGCTCGTAGAGAGGTAGCTGAAATCCCAAGGTGCTATTGGTATAGGTACATGCCACAAGCACAATCAGATGATGTATAAAATATAACATAAAT